CAAAAAAATTTACTAGGAAGGTTGTGGACTTTACGTAATATATTTAAATTTAGCTTACTTATAATAATTGTGTTTTTTGACTTGAAATGTTTTTTTTCTATTTAGGTCTATGTAATTATGTCTCAACTTAACAGTACAAAATCCACAAAAACACAAACCATTTATGTTAAGTAAAAAATTTCGTACATCCAGAGGGGGGCAGTGTAGTGCGAGCCAACTGCCATTTTGCCCAAACTTAATTTGTTTAATCTGCATAAATATATGTACAATTTAAGTTTACTTAATCCGTTTGTGTTAGATTACATGATTGTTTTGTGTCGCATTAACTGAAACTGGGCGGTGCTTGTTAGTTCCCATGCTTTGCATATGGTTGAATTAAGAGAGAATAAATGCTAAAATAAAGTATTATTTTATCTTTTTTTGAGAAATTTAGAAAAGGCGAAGACTTGATAGTGTGTAATTGTGTTTAATGTAAAATTACATTGGAATTATTAGAACCATTTAAATTACAGTGGGCATTGTGGAGAAGAGTGGAGCATTTGGTTTGGTTGTCGACTGATTTGCCTCTGTTCAATCGCTTTAGTTGAAGGATCACCTTAAACTTAGCATTTAAGATGCTAATATGTGCGACTGCTTATTTATCCGTCACTAAAATAAATAAAATATTAATGGACTAATTAATAATATAAAAAGATACCTGAATCATGCCAGGAAGCCTTTAAAAATTCAATTTGAGACTACTTAAATTGGGTCAATTAAAATTACTTAATTCCATTATGTTGAAGTTACATGAACAAATTATGTTTGTTTCATGTAATCCAGTTATGTGGAAAGTCTTGATAAAATAAAATTAATTAAAGCCAACATATCACTTTTTTTTGAGTGTAGCATTCTCATTTTCATTCAACATTTCTCTCTTTCCCTCAATTCTATGCTTGTAATAGGGTGTTTTGTTTATTTTAATAATGTGAACTACACCTTTAACAAATGAAACAAATTTGTAAAGGAAAAAGGACAATTTAATTTTCCAGGTAAACAAGCATCCTTATGAATCCTAATGAACTCTCATCAGAGTTTTAATCTCACTGTGATCATAATCATCATATGTAAGACTGTAATATCAGTCCAGTGTAATCTTTATCAAAACTGAATCATTTTAGAGTGAGAAGGATTATTCAATGCACATTTAAATCAATTTAAAGACACATCTGAAACTGTTGTGTGTGTGTCATCTTGTACCAAAGATTGTCAGTTAAAAAACAACCCATTTGCCAGGATTAAAACAATCTCTCCTGAGCATACAGAAAACATTATTTCTTATTTCTATTTCTGTTTTATAGCCAACAGATTGTTACATTTATTTGTGAACTTTACAATAATTTAAAGAGCAGTTATATCAATTTTTAGGGATTATTCCAGTGTGATAACAGTGTGATGTGTGTCACTTTGATTATCAGATTGAGAAAGAGGGTCTAATAAACTAGCCTCATTCTGGAAAACACCATGACGATTAGTGCGCTGTGTGTTATATACTGTATATAGTGACACACTGCACTGCCCCATATATAAGGCTGAGCAGGAAATTGTATTGTTTCCCCATCAAAGATATCCTCAATCAGGGTAACCCATAGAGAGGCATATCTCTTAAAAAGTAAAAAGAGTCTTGTATCTAAAAACATTGTTTTCATTAATATTTAACTACCACCCATCTCATAACAAAATGTCTTGTGAGAAGTGCGGTTTTCATCAATCGTTAACTTGATTCTTGCTTTCAGTTTCAGATTCTGTTGCATATCAAATATGAGTGGTCCAAAGTACGGTCACACAAAATGCCTTGACTAAAATTCTGAACCATCATGATGAATATAAGGAGGGTAACAGCAAAATACAGGAGAGATGTTCTACATGTCATTGGATGGGGTTCTGCCCTTATCCAGAAGCTCTTGAAGGAAGAGAGAACTTCCGTGACCCCGCAGTCCAGGAGGCGAAAAGCCTCGCGCTTTGCACCAGCCAGAAAACACAGACCATTTTGAGGAATAGAGTCGTCTAGTAGTAGACGGTGTTCCTGACGATTTGTGCTGCCTTGTCGAAAAATGCTACCGTAGTGCGAATCGATCACAGAAAATCTTGATTAATTTTATATGATTTACAATTCTAAGTTATGAGTAGCTACTGTATATGCTCTAGACTACTGTTTTTATTTTTAAATAGTGAAAAGTAAAAATTATCATCAAATATTCATCTTTGACTTGTCAAAACACATCTTTCCTTAATAATTGAAACTTTCAGTTATTCTTGTTCAGCTGGCTGACCATACAAATATTCATATGGTATTTAGCATTTTTAGAGGGAAATTACAGCATGAAAATGTACTTTAAAAAAATAAAAATAAAAACATCGGATAGGGAAAGCTCTGGCTTGGTGTGGATGTGGCCTAAGATTTGTTTACCCCATTTAGGGTGATTTGATATCTGTATTTAAAGGGGAATGTCTGATGCTGAAGAAATAGCTTGTCACCCTCCATTAAAAAAATGCCCATGGAGAGCCGAAAATATACACTGACAAGATCAAGTTGTGGCACATTAACTGGCTCTCAGTAGTCTGTTCATAAGATTCTTCAAGAAGGACTTTTGTTCATTTTAACAGCTTGTCAGCTGTATTGCAACATATTTGAAATAAGTTTCATGCCTCCCCTATAGGACTACAGTTCAGGGTGAGAATATTCACACATTAAATTGATCAAAAGAGACAGTAAAGGCGTTTATAATGATACCAAATATTTTCCATTTCAAATAAATGCTGCCCTTTAATATTATCTATGTTGAATAAAGTTGTGCTGCTTAATATTTTTGTGGAAAAAAAAAAAAAAAAAAAAAATTCCACAAAAATATTAAGCAGCACAACTTTCTTCAACATAGATAATAATAAGAAATGATTCTTAAGCAGCAAATCTTCATATTAGAACAATTTCAGAAGGATCAAGTGACATTGAAGACAGGATTTTAAAATATATTAAAATAGAAAACAGTTATAGGCCTAATACTGTTTCTATTGACGGTTGGTGTTTGGGCAGATATTGTGTTTTGCGGTAGGTAGAATGCCATACGTAACCGTTGCCACTGAACCTACTTTAACAAAGACAGTGGGGCTCGACAGCCTTAGTCAAATGGGTTGGCGCGTATGGTTGTGTTGTGGAGAGACTGTGAGATTGTGGTTAGGTAGGTCGCATGTGAACTACGAGGAAGGAGCTGGGCTGAGATGAGTGAGGGACGGAGGGGGGTGACTCTGGGATGCCAGAGTCACTGTCGAGCCCTCTTGAGGTGTCATGGGCTAGTCGACGAAACACTGAGGACGGAAGGTGCCCTCTTGAAGACCCTATCACGATGTCCCCTACTCGGCTCAATCCAGACGGTTGTGGTGTTGGTCCACTGGGGAGAACACACTTAGTTGCAGCCGTTGTGTGCTGACGCACCATATAGAAAGAAGGCCAAAAGCTGAAATCTTGGCGAAAGCCTGAGCACAAATCAGCAAGTTTTAACATCTACTCTTGTGTAATGGAAATCTACTGCATTTTTGATCAAATAAAGCTTTGGGGATTATCAGACTTCTTTTAACATTAAAAAAACAATCCGACCTCAAACTTTTGAAAGTTATTATACGTGATTTTTTTTTTTTTTAATAGAATAGAACTATACTATTGTGGTTATTTAATGTTAAAAAGCATATCCTGATGAGACCACTGAATACTGGCTGGATTAAAAAACAAAAAAAACAAAGCAGAGAGGGGACTTTTCCTTGTTTCAGAAGTCCATCTCACAACACAGTTCAATATAAGCGTATAAGAGGAGGACCTCCTAACACCCCCATCATAGACTACACAAAGTTAGTTAGCCTGCTTCAACCACAATACTGACTAAACAAAAACCTTCAAGAATCCAGGAACAGCGATGGCGAGAAAGCAACTTCTAAAACCATCCAGTCAATTAGCTAATGAAGCACAAAGGTGCTTTCAGCAGTTCCTCACAATGAGATGGACCACTCAGTGTTATTCAGCATTTCAGAACAAAACAGATGGACAACCCAAATTCAAACCTGAGATTTGATTATTCAAATACATGCAACAAAATAAGATCTTCAGAGAGATCACAAACAAACTGTTTCTACTTTCTATATCTCAAACTTGGGTTTTAACAACAAGAACAAGCTGTTTCATCAATAAACAAAATGAGGACCCACTAACAGAAACCTATAAATAATAATAACAATTTAGCGAAAAAAAGAGCAAAGGACGTTGTCACTTCTCTTTCTGTCAGGATATATGCAGGGAAGTCAATAACAACTGTCTTAGGAAGTGTCTTACCCAATGAGGTTTAGCAAGACCATAGTTTGAGATTCAGCAGCAGCAAAAATCTAACAAATAACCTCAAATACGTTGACAGCGCGATGGGAAGAGTTTCAATACAGATGGAGGCCAAACGCGTGTTGACTGACCGGCTGGAGATTTAGAGCCTTTAATCTCCCTGTACTGCGCTCAGCATCCATATTGGTTTGCTTGTTAAAGAGATAGTTCACCCACATTTAACATAGGCTAATATCAAATAATTTACTTTATATAAAGCTGCAAGACGTCCGAAACAAAAGAAGATGCAGAACGACAGTCGCAATCACCAATTCACTTTAGTTGTATCGGAAAATAAAATGCAATTGAAGTGAACGGTGATTGAAGATGTCAGTCCTTCCATCTCATTTGGTCTTTCAGGAAGAAAGAAAGTCATGCGACATGAGGGTGACAAAATGATGACACAGTTTTCACTACTAAGGGTGGACTATCCCTTTAATGCTGGTTCACCGGGCTGCATTAATCTTTCTCACTCAAAAACCTACAACAGACAGCAGTACTAATCCACGAGCAAGGACAGCAAATGCATGTGTAACGTTAGCAGCAGGATTGAGTCGCACAGATTGGATTCTCCTCTGGCTGCGTTCATAATATGTCTTACCGTCTAGGAGAGAAACGTAGGCAGGAGTGCAGATCGTCAGTTCTTCGTATGGTATATCCTATATCTATAAACGGCCTTCAAATAGGAGTGAATCAACCTGCAGTGCTCAGATACGGCGTCCGGGTCTATGATCGTATGAAGCGTCTCCGCTCAATGGAAGTCGTGCCTGACGTCACGATCGATCTAGACAGGAAAATGGGCGGAAACGAGAGACGGACAAGATGACCAGAGCAAACGAATGGTTTCTGAACGTGAATGCTCCTGCATTTTCATTTTCAAAATTATTGAGGGAAGTAACTTAATATGGTATTGCAAGAAAACGCCAAGGTAAGTGTGGCTGATACTGTAACATTAAAAAAAATAAACAAATTAAATAAACAATTAAAAGTTACAACGAACGCAGTATTTTGATTATTTGACAATACATCAATTTCTAAAAATGTTAACAATCCGCTACCGCTACGTTGAAGTTATAAAGGTGACTTAAAATACGTTTGATCGACAGCCAATCCAAACGAGGTATCGTTGTAATCTCGTTTTTCTTTAACATCGCGAGAGTTTAGTACGGCCTTTCTCCCCGAGCTGCTGGTGAGGAAAGTGTACACATTCAGGTAAAATGCAACATTTTTGCACAATCGACTTGTTACTCCAAGCGTCCGCAACGAATCGTACCGTGTAAATGCTTGGAGAATGTCTGTGTTTATTAACGTTCATATGTGTTTGTTGTTACGTAAAGTATTGAATCGGTTGTTGACTTCTCTCCAGCGGTACAGGCTTCAATGTTATGATACAGGCCTTTATAATTAGAGCTTCCGGTCATCATAATCGCAAATGTCATCTTGCTTGATTTCAATAACACTATTGATATATATATTATCATTGTATATTCGCTGGTTCTTTGGCGTTTCTTTATATTATTGTTGCATTGCTCTAGTATTTCTCGTACTAAAAGCTTTATAAAGTAAACACAATAGTATGCGTTTATATCAAGAGTGTCATTTGCAGACTATACACCTTACAAATATGTATTTTAAATTACCTTAATTAAACTCACTTATTTAACTTCGATGAAGATTATAACTGGGTGATGATAACAACCCATACATAAAAAGTGTGTCATCTTTTCCCATAACTGAAACTATAATTTAAAATTGTATGTTATTATGTTTGTATATTTTTTTGTCTGTGCAGAACACTTCATGATGAGTTATGCTGAAAAGCCAGACGACATAACACGAGATGAGTGGATGGAAAAGCTCAATAATGTTCACATTCAGCGGGCAGACATGAATCGACTCATTATGAATTATTTGGTGACAGGTAAGCAGTCAACTGACCACTGTATATATTCACCATATATTGCAGCTTTAATACAAGTGCACTTGGATCTTTGTCATAATTTGATTGTTTTTATTTACATAGAGGGTTTTAAAGAGGCAGCTGAGAAGTTTAGGATGGAATCAGGCATTGAACCAAGTGTTGATCTGGACTCTCTGGATGAAAGGATAAAAATTAGGGAGATGGTCTTGAAGGGACAAATTCAAGAGGCCATTGCACTGATCAACAGTCTGCATCCTGAGCTGCTGGACACTAACCGCTACCTGTACTTTCATCTTCAGGTAAAGCAGATCAATTATACAAGTGACGAGTCTACTAAATCTGACTAAACATAATATTTCAATTTCAAAGAGTAGATCTGTTACTTATATCATTGAGAACCTAACAAAACATCAAACCAACTTTAAGGTTCATCTAATGCAATAAGTTTCATACATTAAGTGTGGCCAAAGTACTATTTGGGGCCACTGTAAGTAAGTTGTTCACTTTTGGACTTTTATTTTGTAAACTGGCTGTTAACATATATATTAATGTATGCGTACATAAAACTTGCAAAAGTTTTTTGTACTGTTTCATAGTGAATCGTAAAGACTGTCTAATGCCAAATCACAGGAGACTGATTCTAAACTTACAACAAGTGCCTCCTTCTTGTAGCAACAACACCTGATTGAGTTGATTCGCCTGCGGGAAACTGAGGCTGCACTGGAGTTTGCACAGACACAGCTGGCTGAACAGGGAGAGGAAAGCCGAGAGTGTCTGACAGAGATGGAGCGTACCCTTGCACTCCTGGCTTTTGATAACCCAGAAGAGTCACCCTTCGGAGACCTGCTTAACATGATGCAGAGACAGAAGGTAACATATTGTTTTACGTAGAACAACAGTCATTTTTAAAAATCATGTTTATTGAACCTGAAACCACAATGGATGATATGCTATCTCTCTCTTTATACGTTGTTATTTTTTAATATATTATTAAAGAGATAGTTCACTCAAAAAAAAGCTTACTATCCCTGCAAAAAAGTTCATTAATATAGGCTTTTATTCACATAAAACTTTCCTCCGATCATAAACAGAAGCTCTGCCGAACCTGCTTGACATGTGAGAACAAACCTCATTGGTTCTTGCTGAAGCTCAAACATGCTGCGTAACATGACAATGAACCTCATTGGTTCTCGCACTTCAAGTGAACATGCTTGAGCTTCTGTTTACCACAGCTGATGTGTGAGTTCACCCTCACAAGAATTCAATCTGTTGTTCATTATAAAAAGCAATCATGTCTCTACATAAAATTTGAACTAAACCGTTCGATTCATATGAATTAGTTTTACAATCTCTTTATGAACTTTTTGAAGCGTTAGTGGTACTGGCGTAGATGCCTATGGAGGGACAGAAAGCTCCCAGATTTTATCAGAAAGATCTTCATATGTATTCTGAAAATGAATGAAAGTCTTATGGGTTTGGAACGACATAAGGGAGAGTAATTGAGAGAATTTTTTCATTTTTGGTGAACTATTCCCTTAAAGAATGGTATAAAATAAGCATCTTCCACCAACCAGTTGCTGGTACCTTTTACACATTGGCAGATAAAAGTAGTTCAAATATTTGAATTGAAAAATAAATCTGAGGGGTTAGTTAAAAAGTGCATTCATTAGCTATACTTCCATTTAAAACAATTACTAACCCAATCTTTTGAACATCTTATGCCCAACAAGGCTGTATTTGTTTGATCAATGTATTAAACCAATAATATTGTAACATATTATTACAACTTAAGTGAATTATTTTCTATGTCAATATAATTTATTCCTGCACTGGCTTAATTTTTTTTGTGGAAACTGTGACGCATTTTTGCAGGATTCTTTTGATGAATAAAAAGTTCAAAAGAAAAGCATTTATTTGAAATGTATATATCTTTAACAATATAAAAGTCTTTGCTGTCATATTTGATTAATTACATTCCTGTTAGATAAAATTTGTTACTGGTATTAATTTCTATAAAAAAAGTCAATCTTACTGCCCCTACACTTTGGCCAGTGTCAATATGAAATGTATTCTATGCACTTAATGTACGTTCACAGTTTTACTGTAAATTATTTTTAAAAAAATGTCATAGAACGGAAGAGAGGAAGTCGGAAGCTCACGTAAATAACACATCCATTTGATTTTGAGAGTCCTTCACATAAAATTCATTCATTGACAATCGTTCATAGGAAGACTAGACGTTTTTCAAGCTGTTCAATCAATTGCAATAAAGCGATTAATGCATGAAAATTCTTACTTTTAATCTGCCAGTGATTGACAGCATGTGGTGTCCTATAACAGGTGTGGAGCGAGGTAAACCAGGCAGTGCTGGACTACGAAAACAGGGAGTCGACACCGAAACTTGCCAAACTCCTCAAACTGCTGCTGTGGGCTCAGAACGAGTTGGACCAGAAGAAAGTCAAGTACCCCAAAATGACAGATCTTAGCAAAGGCACCATCGAGGACCCCAAGTGAAAACGAACCGGCATCTCAATGCTTGCGTTATGCGGGGAACAAAAACGGACGCTTTCCCTCTCTTTAACTATTTATACTCAGTGACTGACACTCAAACATCCTTTTATCAACCTTTTGTTTTGTTTACTCGTCGCTTATCAGAGACTTTGCATTAAGTGGGCTGTGGAAATGAGATTAAGATTTAAGGATGACTTCTAGCCAAAATGGAAACACTTTTTATCGCAGATGGATTTCTGTGATGATTTTTTTTTTTTGTTACCACAATGTTTGACTTGCTGAGCGGAATTGATAGCATTTTAGCCATTTTGTTTTTGCAGAGGATTATTATCTTTCGATTTTGTCAGTGAATGTTCAGAAAGTCTACGAACACAGTTGAGGACTGAACCACACTATTTAGATTTACCTTCTGTTTGACTGTGTCCGCTGTCTGATGTGAGGTACCGAAGGCACAATAGTGGTGTCATCAAGGACAGTGAATTGATTGTACCAATAAGATGAACGAGTTCTGTGTGCTTTCACAACTTTTATTTGCAGTGCACGGGTATACTTTTTGTATGCGTGTAAAAGGGCCCTGTCAAAGAAAATCTGCCCTTTTGAGTACTAATGTTATTGCATTATAATGTTATAAAGTCATGTGACATTGTTTTCTACTGTACATTGTCATAGTATTCCTGCTTACATTGACATTCAATTTATGTGATTTATAGATATTGCAGAGATCAATTTGTAAGCTTCTGAAATCAGATGCTTTACATAGGTATTAAATATTATTTTTTAATCCCCAAACTCTATTTGAATATCAGAATTGCTGCTGTTTTTAAATGTTATGGCCAAATATGTGCTGTGATGCCTAATTAAAGGTTGCAGAAGGGTGTTTTTATAACAAATTATTATGTGGTGAATGAAAGCCACCCACACTGGCTGTCTCATGACTGATTATGATAATTGCTTGCTGTTGGTGGGTAAACACGCAACCTCAGAAATTACACTTCAATTGAGTCAGAAGAACAAGAAAATGCTATTACAACCTGGATTCTGACTTGTAAAAGTTTATTTCTTTAGCAATGTTATTACTATTACCATAGGGCCGACGATTCTTTGTAAATAACATCGCGATATCTGATTAATGAAAAATTGTTATTTTAAATCGGATCTTTTTAATGAATCAGACAAACTGATTCAAAAAGTGACTCCAAAGGAGTCGTTAACAAAACCGGACTGATTCAGTCCTCAGCTGTAATCGACTGGACTGAACCATACAATCGGGATTTAACCAACGTTTTTACTGATAGGCTGAAAAGTAAGCTACTTTAATATATCAATCGTAAAAAAAAATGCTACAAAAATGAAGCATATATTTATGACTTAACGATTAATAACGTTTTATCAACATATATGGAACGGAGTTAGTTTAATCAACTAAAATATTTTTTTTTCTTTAATGTAAAAGCTAATTATATTAAAAACAAACTTTGTGAGCTGAACTATGAGTGCAACCAACCAAACTGAAATGCTTAAATGCACCCTAAAAAACCGCATTTCCTTATTTTAACATAAAACATACAGAAATGGCGTAAAAGAATAGGCGATTCATTTTTGTGTGTGTGTGAGTGAGTCGTTAAACAAAATGTTTAAAAGAATCGATTCGTGCACACGAGTCCGAGATGGTGTATCTAATGACTGTCATACCAAGATACGTCTACTTAACCTGTCCGCTTGCATTTTGCATGAAAAAAAGGTCCGTCTTCACAAGGTTTTCAATTTCATATTTAGGTATGTTGTGTTCCACACAGTTGCGAAATCATGACTGGTGAATGTGGAAGGGGCTGAGTCCATAGGGCTGAGTCACGTTACTTCCTGGTTTGAGACGCCAGTGGTTGGAGAAACTGCGTGGCTGAAAAAAGAACTGACACGTGGATCATCATCAACACTTCAGGAATCAGGAAAAAGCAGAAATTCGTCCCGCTGCGTTACAGCAGCTGTGAAAGCCGAGAGTCCGCTGGTTTCTGCTGGTCGCTGGAGCGCTGTGTTTGCGGCAGGGATGTTATAAGGAGATGCTTCCGCGAAGAAACTGGGATAGAAACATATTGTTTTCATTGCTTTGCTCTTTTGCCTATTACGCTCGCAAAGACTGACCCGAGAGAACATCAGAGCAGATAGTCACAAACGAATATATTTGTCGTTGAATGGCAATTTTACAAAAACATGGAAAGAACTCTTGTCCAGATTTGGCCAGTATTAAGGAGAATCCCTCAGAAAATATCGGACAAGCTGGATCACAGAAGAAGTGGCCAGAGTCAAGTCAGACCTGGACAAGGTGAGACCACCTCCTCACAAAACTTTCCTCTAAAAATAATGTATTCTGACGCAAACAATGAATTCATTCGATGATAATAAAGTATAGAAGTCTAAATAAAGTATGAATACATTGTATAGCAAAAGGTAGCCTAGTTATTAATCAAATTTAAATGTATCTCAGCAACAAATTGATGAGTAGTTAAAAGTATTATTTTAATGTCAAATTTTCAAACATTTCAAAAGTTTCAATCAGAATGGGGAATGCATTATAAACAAGCAATAATATAATAATAAATAATAAATTGCATTTACAGATAGAATCAGAATCTAGCTTTTCATTTTTAGTTCATACTAGTTCAGGTAAATTAAAGAATATTATCCAGTACAATTTTTCATTTTAATTATGTATTAGTAAATATTGAAGTAAATGCTTTAGACTAGTGCTGTCAAATCGATTAATCACATCTAACATTAAAGTTTTTCTTTAATATATATATTATATATATATATATATATATATATATATATATATATATATATACACACACACACACACGCATATATATATATATATATATTATGCACGCATACACACGAACATTATTATTAATACTAATTATTATTAATTATCCCAAGTACTCCGTCTTAGTCACAGTTCTGTATGTGGTATTTAGGTCATCTTTTGAGTAAAAAGGTTGATGAAGTTGAACTACGTTTTACAGCGTTAGTACTGTACATCTGAATCAAATCAACCTAGATGGGCACTTTCCAGTTTGTGTGTTTTGGATTGTAACAACTTCTCATATGAATCTTGTTTGATGTAAACTTTAAACATACGGTTTTATCTCTCTTTATCTAGGCCAGTAGCGAGGATATGGACGGTGGTGTTGTTGCTGGGCACATGTTTGCTGTACTGTGCCCGTGTAGCCATGCCTATCTGTGCGGTGAGCATGGCAGAGCGCTTCAACTGGTCTAAGAGAGAGACGGGCATGGTGTTGGGCAGCTTCTTCTGGGGTTACTGCTTCACTCAGGTCCTTGGAGGCTACGTCAGTGACAGGTCCTCTGACTCCATTGTTTCTGATGCTGAAACCTCAAGATAAATGTCTTTATTTGTGTACTTTACATAAAGATTTATTTTAGTTTGTAATATTAAGTAATATTGGATCTTGAGTTCTACCATTTAAAGTGGTTTGAGTTAATATTTAATAAATGTAAATATTTATGCAACAGTCAGTAGGTCGCAAAAGTTAGCTTCAGCAGTTCAAAGAATGAATGAATCACTATCGTGTTATTCAAAGCATTTAAAGGGCGAGTGCACAGTGAATTCATTAGAAATTAGGTGAATGTGATGGCAGTCTCTGGGTTAAGGGTGTGGCTCTATTTTATAATGTCGTCCTTTGAAATTGTTGAAACTGTTGAAAATGCTTTTAATATTTATTAAACAGGTTGTGGCTAACAGTTGCAAACAGTTCTGCAAAAACAAATGCAAACAGTTCTGAGGACTCATTTCCATGCTGCCGGTTTAGCCCAGCAGTCATTTCCATTCCCTTACATTCAAATAATTTTAAAGAACTTAATAATATGATATTTAACAAGTCTTTTGGCCACCAGAGAGCCACAACCTGCTAAGAAATACTTGATACACAATGATGTGATGCCAATGAAGCTTGCCATGAATTGCTGGTCTGCTTTGGTCCCATGCTGCAGATATAAGGACAACTTTTTTAAAACGTGGAATGGTCCCACTCATGTTTGGATTTGATGTTCTATGTGTTTTTGTTGATTTGTTTGGTGTTTAGGGTGGGAGGAGAGAAAGTGATGCTGTTGTCAGCGGCAGCATGGGGAGCAATGACAGCCTTCACTCCGATCTTAGCCCATTTCTGCTCCCAGCCCATCGTCTCCATGACGGTCTCCCGCTTCCTCATGGGCCTTCTGCAGGGTGAGAGACCGTCCCAGAGCGTACCGAACTTCCCATAACTGTGCTTACGTGCTTTTCATGTTGTGTTCTTTTGAGGATCTAAAGATATTGAAGTACATTGACAGTTTAAGCTTGGAGAAAGTTGCAAAACAATATCCAGCTGTTTTCAGTATTTTTCTAAGTGGGGCTGTAGTTTGCTGTAGAGCTGTGCTGTTGTTATTAGGGGAAATTTTGCTTGCTTAGTAAACCATTGCAAATTGCTAAATGTTCCCTTTTTATGAGAAGAGGACAATGCTGTGGAGTAGAGCATAATTGTGCTGTGGTTGGCAAAGCGAGGAATCCGACCACTATCATGCTCTGCCTTGCGATTTATTTACGCAGTATGTACTTCTGTTATGTTCTCTTGAAACTAGTGAAAGCGGTCTGTACAACAGTCACTGGACTATTATAAAATATGCCACTCAGCATAGAGGGAGCTGCAGTTTGGCTTTTTGTTACAAAAATGTTTAAGCTTGCTAAAATGTATTTATAGCATCATCTTGTCCAGGCTTCTGTTACAAAACACGATGTCTGTTGGCGTGAATGAAGCAAAACCGCTTTACATTATTATTCAGAATTATGAGATGCATAATATTACGATTGCACATTACAACACAGAATGTGCAATACAGGATAAAATACGAAGTGAAAATTTTTAAAGTGAGGATGCCCAATGTAACATTTATCTGTCAGTAATTCAATTAATCATGAAAAATAAAGATTTGTTTTATTTGTTTTTAGTATAGGGTGGGCATAAGGTGGTTTATTTGTTGGTTTGTTGTTAGTCATAAACACTTCTGGCTATCCAAAAAATGAGTGTGTGTGTGTTTTCTTGGCGCTCAGGTGTTCACTACCCGTCTCTGGCCAGTCTGTGCTCTCAGAAGGTGGTGGAGAGTGAGAGGGGTTTCCTCATGAGCACAGTAGGAAGTGGCTCATACCTGGGGTTAGTGTCTGATCGCTGTCTCTGTGGAAATCTAACCGATGTCTTACAGATTGAATTTGTGTAACTGTGTGTGTGTGTGTAGGACTCTGGTGATTGGAGGTCTCGGCTCTCTCATGCTGGACTTGTACGGCTGGGAGAGTGTGTTTTACGCCTCTGGGCTTCTGTCTGTGCTGTGGGCGTACTGCATGTGGAAGTATCTGCTCAAAGGAGAGGGTATGTTCCGGTATACGCAAGCACAAACATACACAAGTCGGGGAATCTCTAGGTAACTCACAAATTTATTTTGTGTTGGGGTTGGTATGATTTTATTGTTTTTGAAAGAAATCTATGGTGCTCAACAAGGCTGTGTTTATATTTTCTAAAGTACAGTAATACTGTGAAATTTTATTGCAATTTGAAATGATTATATTTTATATATTATATTATATTCATTTGATGTCAATTTTTTTTAGCATTATTACTCCATTCAGTGTCACGTGATCCTTTAGAAATCATTGCTGTTCAAGAAACATTACTGTGTAAACTCTAGAAAGTTTACACACACACACACACACACACGCACGCACGCACACACACACACACACACACACACACACACACACACACACACACGCACACACACACACACACATATATATATATATATATGTAGTTTCCAGAATTCTTTGAATAGAAAGTTCAAAATAACAGAATTTATTTGAAATAGAAATCTTTTGAAACATTATTAAATGTATTTACTGTTACTCTTGATCAATTTACTGTATCGTTTCTGAATAAAAATGTCATTTCCACACAAAAAAAAAACAAAAAAAAAAACGTTGATGTTTGTGTACTTTGTAACAATTCCATATTTGCAGTACTACAATATATTAAATATTCGACTGCCATTATTGGCTAATCAGAATCAATAATTCTAGAGAACTGTGTAGTAAGGAAATGTGTTAGTTGATGTGTTTTCCATTATGCTGTGTAAGCTATTTTTGGTAGTTTGGCTGATACAGGGGTAAATAATTAAAAAAAATCTGTGTTAATTAACGTACTTTAAGTGTCTCTATTTATACACTCCATTCAGATCAGACACAGCCGTGCTGTTATTCTTTTCCATAACAAGTGTTAACAACTGTTTGTTTAAAGGCCGATTATGTTTGTCAGGTCCCATCATCACACTGGAGTCTCTGGGCAGCACTGGAAGCCAGTCCAAACTGTCTAAGAGAAACTGGCTGCGTCTCTTCAGACAGCCAGCTGTGTGGTGAGATTAGCACCTGAATACTGTGTGTGTGTGTGAGAGTGTGGATGCTGAACAAAGGGTCTTTACTGAGCTCCCATAAAGGCCTGATTCACATCCACTCCATGTCTGCCTATATATAGAGCACTCAGTAACACAGTACACTGTCCCGTCAGCCAAAACATGGCTGAGTGTTTCTGACTGCACACATGATGTGGATGTTTTTTGTGATATTTTAAGAATGATATTAATGTATCAGGAAAAGTAGATTTTTACTGTACTTTACCATGTTGACTGAGAGTGAGTGCTCTAGTAGTGATTGTTGTTACTGATGTTATTGTTGTAGAGGTTTACATCACCACGGTTCCCTTGACAAAAAAACGAAGAGGATTTTTTTTCATTAGCTTTTGGATTATTGCATAAAATAAGATCCGTGACCTACAAAAGTTTATGATTCTTACACTTTTGAAGCCTAAAAACAATAGGCAGAAAAAAAGCTAAAGTTAACTTCACCATCAAGCTAAAGCCAAACGTAACCATCACTAATCTTCCGACAACTTTTTCAGTAAAAAAAAAAAATTTTTGAAAGTTTGTTAAAATAACTTGCAAGAGCACAATTCTAAACACAGTGAGGCTGTGAAAGTGGACTAGTGAGTAGAGGATTTTACCTGTTCAGCTATAACTCATGTAGTCCCATTTAACCACTTGTTAGAAATCGATTTTTTTCAAAGACAAGTAAAAGCTTTTGTAAAATGTAAAAATGTCTGGATCTTGTGTTAAACGCAGACCTTTCTATGGGCATTTAACCAAAAACCACTCAAAAAACCCATTGAATTCAAGACAATGGAACCGGAAGTGCTAACATGCTTCTACCATTTCCGGGTTTTGGCCTATAAAAATATATCCTCCCTGCAGTATTCAATTAAGACTTACTTGAGTTTTCTTAAGTAAAACCCACATAATTTTTTTTAATTAAAATGATACTTTTTGTATTATTTATATGAATTATTATTATTATAATATAAGATTAAAGGTGCTCTCAATCAATTTTTAATTCCCTTTATTAATATTGTGTTATCTTAAACATAGTGGTATGGATGCAGTATCACACAAATAATGATCACTAATGCCATTGTGGAAATGCACTATTTGCGGTTAGCCATGATTAACTTACTCCATGAGTGAAAGTCTTCAGATTTACCAATGTAAATGTTAGTATTCGGCTGTTCATGTGATCGTAACTTGGTGGCATGACTGGAGAATCTTGTACAGACTAAACTTATTTATCTATCAAAACCTTTTTTTAATGAGGAAGAAAAATGACTGAGTGCACCTTGGGTGTCTTTTGTCTGCCAGCTGCATTGGTGTCATTCTTTCTGTCTGTTTTTCAGTGCCGTCATTATTACACACTTGTGCACCGCCAGCACCTTCTTCACACTGCTGTCATGGCTGCCAACGTATTTCAAGGACACCTTCCCTGATGCCAAGGTAAACTGAGCTGCGCTCTTTCAGACAGCGTGTGAGAACATGATCTGTGTCAAAGCAAAATAATATCAGTTTTCACACTGAGATTTCTCTCCTTCTATTGGAGACATGAATCGGTGGAGATAGTTTATGATGATGTTAGTATGATGCTGTTCTGGTTTAACTCCAGCAGGGGGCTCCACATAACAACGGCACATCAGTGTATGCAGAACTGTATATCCACATGCTGGGCTGACCTATTGTTCATTGCGTGTTCCTGTGTGTTTGTGTTTGATTATATGTCTGCATGTGTGTGTTTCTTCAGGGTTGGGTGTTTAACGTGATCCCATGGTTTGTGGCCATCCCCTCTTCCCTGTTTAGTGGATGCCTTTCAGACCATCTAATCAGTCAGGGTACGAAACCACACGTACTACACAAACGCATTTAAAGATATAAGCTCACATTTGTTCCTTATCGATTAACAATAGAAAGGCAATTAAATAGTCCCTGTTCCCTTCTGTAGTGTCAACGGCTTGTTGTGTCGTGACTTTGCTCTTTCCCGCCAATGTTACACGTCTGTATGAGTTTTACGGTGTTGTAAATGTCGAGTCAACACGACTGTAATCGTCTTATAAAATGTGTTAAATGTTCCTCAGCTGGCACACTCATACTCTCGCCCCTTTCTCTGACTCTTAAAGGTTTTGACACTGCGTCGGTGAGGAAACTCATGCAGGTACAATTGAAATACACACTCTCTCATGAGGCTGTATTAACAGCTAAATATTATTACAATATAAAATAAATGTTGTCTATGTTAATTAGTGATGGCAAAGAATCATTACCACAGTTCTCAGTGTCACATGTTCCTTCAGAAACCTGCTCAAGAAACTTTTCTTACTATCCATAAACAGTTAAGCTCCTTAAAATATGAAAATATTTTTTTATGAGAAGAAAGTTCAGAAGAACAGGATTTATTTGAAATATAAATCTTTTGTAATATTATAAGTGTTTTATTGTCATTTCTGATCAATTTAATATGTCCTTGCTGTATAAATGTTTTTAAAATAATCTTACTGACCCCAAACTTTTGAACGGTAGTGTATATAAACAATGTATTGATCTGTGTGTTTTTCAGTTCTTCTCTATGGGCGTTTCCAGTGTGTTTACTTTGTTACTGTGCGGGACCAGTACGTTTTCCACAGCTGTGGCTTTCGTGTCTGCTACGATGGGCCTCACCACATTCAGCCACAGGTAATGCCACACACTGCTTACATTTTGCATTCAAACAAACAAACAAACAATAGAGCTTGACAACCGCTAGCAACCGCAAGGTCATGGGTTTGATTGCCGGGTAATGCAAGCACTGATCAAATATATGTAAAATAATCTGCCAAATGCAAATGTAAACATATAATGCTCTCTGTCTTTGTAGTGGGGTTTCAGTGAATGTTCAAGATCTCGCTCCATCCTGTGCTGGGGCTCTGTTTGGTAAGTATCATTCTCTGCTCTAAACAAAACTATGATTCCACACTAAAGGCCTATTCACACCATCATTAAAGCATGATAACTTTAATGATAACCATAATGCTATATGTATGGCATACACACTGATGGACAATACCTTTTGTTTGTTCTAAGCACACGCTTCTGTTATACTCTGTGTTCTGTTCTTCAGTGTACGCTTTAAAGTAGAAAGGCGCTTGATTGGCTGTCAATCTTGTTAATGTTCATCAGTTGGAAAAAAAAAAACATTACAAGTGATTATTGCATGAATTGTTTTGGTATTATTAATATATGTATAGTTTTTATTTTTATATTATTCATTTTCACATCAATTTTAGTTAGTGTTTGTAATTTTTGTCGTCTGTATAGTTTGTATTAATGTTTTTGCACATAATGAAATGTGGTAAAAAGAAAATGAGGAGTAAAAATTAAAAAAAGAATTAATTCTCAATGTTGCTGTGCCATCAAAATGCATTTATTATTCTTAAAAAAACAACAACATAAGAATGTCTACCTTCACCATAAAATTTAAAATGTATTCAACAACAATTTGAAATCGCAGTGGAAATTATTTGAAGGACACTCTGTTTAACGTTTCATTTTATTTCAAGTAAGAAAATGTTTTCTAATAGTTTTAGTTGACCATAATTGGTTCTAGTGGTTCTATTGTTTTACTCAGATGGCACACATTTTTTGTAATTTTACAATGAGCAATAGGATTATCTGCTGTTTAAACAAAGTACAATAAATATAAGTCAGTCTCATTATTTCCGTTGTCTTTTCTGAATCTGTAATGTTTTTTTTTTTTTTTTAATTTCTAATAGGGGTGATGAATACATGTGGAGCTTTTACAGGTAAGGACATGCCTTTTTGCATTTAAAATGTATTTTTTTACAGGTAGATTGTTAGTATGCTGTATGAGATAATGCTGTTGTGTGTCCTTGTTAGGGGTCATCATGGTGTATCTCTCAGGGTATCTGATCGAGGCCAGTGGTTCCTGGGCATCAGTATTCGGCCTCATCACAGTAGTGAATCTGCTGGGTTTAGCCACGTTCTTAAGCTTCGCACAAGCTCGCAGAGTGGACATAGATCTAGCGAAGGGCCGTCACCACAACATCCACATCTGAGAGCACAGGGGCCTGGAGCAGAGCAACACCGTCAGGATACGGAGCTTATGGATCAGCTGAGTTTTGTGTATGAGGGGTGGGAAGGACATGGAGAAATGACTGGCTCTGAGAAAAAGGGGGACATCCTCAACAGTCACTGGTTTCTTCACTATGGAAGCTATGTTACTCTCTTTGGCTGAAGAGAATGTTGGAAAAGCTTTAGGAGATACTTCATAGATCTGTAATTGTTTACTAGGAGCCGCAGGATGAAGAGTGTTAAGTATTTTGTTACGGTTCATTCATTTCTATCTTATCCTCTAGCACTTGTGTTAGTGTGACCAAAGCATTTCAGAAACCTGCAGTACGCCGTCCATTTAATCAGATGAAGACCAAAAGCTAGAGTTTGACAGTCTGGGAATTGACAGTGTTTATTAAATTATTAATAGCATGTTATTTTAAAATACCTCATCTCAGATGCGTTTCTTCCACAGAGTATGAGCTGTTGATAGAGATTAGTGGGAATTGTTACTGCAGACTTATAGTTTGTCCCATTTGGAAAAGAAAGTTACTGTCTGTTAAACGTGCTCTTGTGCGTCTTTTTGCTGTCCGACTCCTTAAAGCATTTTCTTTGTGTCTGCTGTTGGGAATAGTTTCTGATCTTTGAAGGAAGTTTCGGTTTCAGCCTTTGAGACAAACTGCTAGTTTCTTTTTGTCTTTGACTGATTTAATTATTAGGGACCTTTTCTCAGTGGGTCATTTGTTTGGACCAAGAAGTTGCACAATGAAATGAATGTATCATGGTGATAAGCTTTATTATGTATTGTAGAGACGAGACAATCCTGAACGTGATGGGAATGATTTGACCAAAATCTATTTCGAGTGCATATTTTGAAGTTCAGTTATGTTGAAAGGGTTACAAAAGTATATTATCTCATAACTTGTGATGTAGATCTCTCATTCCCCAGTTGTTACTGCTTTGAGAAGTAATGTAAATGTTACTGTTAGTTACATAAAGAATTGAAGGAAAATGAGTTCCCAGGAAGGCTTAGTTTGCTTTAATGGGTCTTATTTCAATGTGCATTAAAACATTTCTGCTGTTATTGCAGGCCTACTGCTAGAGAAGATCATGGCAGATTTGCAAAGAAACAGGAAAAAAAAAAACTTGAATTATTATATAACTCTCTTCTCTGCAAGGGACTCAAAAGAAATTTAATTTTTTTCCAGGACATAGAATCATAAGAAATATGTTCACAAAGATTATTATTTGTGATTAAAATCTTATTTTATGCATAGATTAGATACCACTGTGTGTATAGTAGACAATATTTCAGAATACATTTATATTTATTGATTTAGAGAATAGATTTAAAATGCTTATATGATTATTGTCTATGTCTACCATATCTATATTTGTATGTTTTCTCTGGTTTCTTTCCTGTCATGTTTTCTTGTTCTGGCTGATGCAGCTTTATAGAAATGCCATATCGCATATATTTTATGTTTAATGTGCTATTGTTCTACGATAGACTGTTCTGCATAACTGGATAATAATTGTGGGGCTTGTTTCACCATCACAGCTGACAATTACTTGCATTTGAGTAGCGATGAAGACGCTTTGCATATTTAATACGCTTGCGTCATTCCTTATGAAACTTCTCTCACTCAAGACTAGGAAACACAATAGATGAGCTGTGAATTAATGCAATGTCATACTGTCCTGAGTTGCGGATAAAAGATTCTTTTGGAGACTAATATCACATGGAAAAAGAAATGTAAATGCAGTATTCTGTATTTGTAAGCATATTTTGCTGAAATATAAAACTATATTTTATCAAGGGAAAAATGTTTTGTGTATTAACTTGCTCTCAAAGTTGTGTTTGGACACCACCAGGAGGCAGAAGAGTCCAGAAAAACAGCGTAGTGTAGCGGCCTTGCCTTTCATACAGGTTTACAGTCAGCTAACTGTCTGGCACAAACATTTAAATGCTGAAAAGAGGCCTTTATGCGTGCAATTGAAAGTGCGAGGGCGGGCATATGTGTGCGTTTAACTGGAGTGGCATGGCTAACACCTCCTGAATGTTTGTAGCATCATTATACACTTCAAACTTCGCCAACTGCGTCCAACCAACTTCCACACAGGCTTTTTAGTAGTATCCATCAGTTCCGATAATCTAACGGACACTTTCGTGGGGCTCAACATTCAGAGAAGCCTAAATATATGCCTGCAAGAAGTATGTAGTTATTGGAAATGCTAGCGCGCTAACTTAATTAGCTAATCGTATGGAGCTTGAGCCATACAACTAGTTGTTCGCACTGTTGTCGTAATTCCAGAGCTGTATCAGCATGGATGGACATGCAGGTCTTCCTCTGCTTCTGTCGCTAGATATATGGGGTGGCACCATATGGCAGGTCGCTGCGTGCCATGCTGGTGAGTTGGCAATGTGTGCGTGTGCCAGGCATCCGTCACCCCTCTCACGGGACTCTCTCAGGTTACCATAGAGACAGATGGCGATGGCGGTGGGAAGGGGGGTGAGATCAGGGGCCTGGGGCAAAGTGGGCGACACTGTCACACCTGAAGATGAGAGGTGCTTCATGTACTGAATGAGGTTCAAGAGACCAGATATATGTTGGGCTCGTTTCGTTTGGTAATAGTTTATTTAAAATATCTAATAGTTTTAAGTGCAAAATATATTGTTTTTGTGATTCAGAAATTCAGATTGCCTTACTGTTAATCTGAAAGGATTTATATTAACTGTCACATATATGTTCACTTGGCCTTTACTGATTTTTTTATTTAAAATGTGTGAGACTAAAGATTGTTGTTGATTTAACTTTAAAAAGTAAGTTACCTGGTTGCCTTAATTTTATGTTCATTGAAATTAAACATTTGAGTTAATTCAATGGAGATTGTTATTTCTGAACCACATTAGTTGATTTGACAAAAGATTTAAAAGGTTGTGATAACAATTCATGAAAATAATGTTTTACAGTGAAAGGACTATGGAGAATAACATCCCCAGGCTCTCAGAGTCTGATCCGGTTTATGTCCAGACCGTTCGAGTGACAGGTGGTAATATCTAGATCTGTGCTGATGTGCGAATGCATTCCTTGTGTAGACGACAGTAATACGCCTGGCATTTTAAATGCAGTTTTATTGTTTTACCTGGTCCCAAGCTGGAACAATGTTTTAAAATATATATATATATATATATATATATATATCTTCAGTTAAAATGGCAAATTAAGTTTTTTAAAAACAGAAAAATAATAATAATACATTTCAATAGGCCTATTTCTCTTAAATTGATTTTAGGTATAGCCTATATTTGTTACATAAATGATGACTAAAAATAACCACAATGACTAAAAATGATTGATTATGGAAATTTACCAAGGCAAACAACAGTTTCAGTGAAGAACTTGATGAAATCTGAGACGGATTTATGAAAAAATAAAGCACAACCTAGGTAAATATATGGAAGATCATAAGAGGGAACAATCATGCATTATTATGACATTAAAAAAAATTGAGATACTAGTCATAATTAGACTGAGATAAAAAGTAAAAATTGACATACTAAGAGATAAAAAAAATTAAATTATGAGATAGGGCTAAGTTAAAATTATGAGAAAAGGTCGAAATTGTGACAAACGCAAAACATTGAAATATGAGATAAAATGAAACGTGACTCTTTATCTCATAATTATGACTTTAAGTTTTTTTTTTCTTACGTGGCATACAGGCAGACTATTTATTGTGCATCATTACCATTCTCCAATTGTGTCAAATTATGCAAAAGTCTGAAAATATTATTTAATTGTGTGTATTTCACACATAAAATATAACTAGAAATCAGCTAAACAGGATTCAGCCATTTTATTCCAAAAATGTCATTTTCCTTATCATTTCCGCCACATAATGCTCGAGTGTTGGAAGTGATCATGAGGTTCAGAAAAAAAAGATTGAAAATGAAACAAGCTTTCAATCCACATGCCATAACAGTTCATTCTACTACTAATACCATTTACCAATACTAATAAAAATTAATAAACAAGCTTTGTTGTGATAAATGGTGTTACATTTAACACAGACCTTTAAAAGTAATTGATTTAAAATCTATTGTCAATCTAATAAAAAAAAAACATTTCAAATAGCCTACAATCTTGATTTGTTCCATTACTAATCTTTTTAATTAAACAACATCAAAACTGAGGTAGGGGACTGTATGTTTTCGGGATGTTATTGAATTTAACACAGCTGGTTGTGACATGCCATAATATCACAGCTTTTACATATCTTAAGGATCATGGCAAAGCTCTTAATTAACTCACGCGGGAAGTGACAGAGGAACAGCCCACCGCGCATTATTGGTTTTCGTCGCAATGGAGGAGTAAAGAGCCTGTCAGAGGACCGAGAGATGCGCCTGAGTGAAATAGCGCCGTTAATTACTAATTAACTTCAAGCTAATGACAATGTCACTGTGTCGTCGTCTCAACGAATGTCCTCCTCTCTTTATAAAGCCCCCCACTTAGACCTGATCTGCATGCTAATTACTCCAACACATGCACTATTTAGACTCCACAGTAAAACAATAACTATACACTTCAAATCCATAAGAATACACTTTACTGCATCTTCAAATGGGAGATAATTGAATGGAGTATTTGGTGAATTTTTTGGGCTGAATTAATAAACAAAAACAAAGATATTCAATGACCACAAGAAAGCTCCAAGCTTCCTCTCCGTCTTTCTCGTCTGTTAAAAGCTGTGCCCTGTGGCTATAAACTCTCCCTCTACTAACTAAATTACCCCTCACTTTGTTTAGCATTTCCCGTGGAGGGACTGTTGGAGTGTTGCTGATCGCCAATCATTTCCGCCGGCTCACATCTCACACAAACACACGCGCGTGTCCAGATATGTTGATTTCTGTCAATTAACTCAGTCAGCTGTTGGCTTCCTGGTAAGCATATGGCCAGCGTTACACACACTGTCCTGTAGTTCTGATCAGCGAGGGACAGTGTTTTAATGGAGCCCTCTGGGACAGGACCTCACACCTGTGCCCATGCCATGCTGAGGAAGTATCAGCGAAGCACCCATGATATACGTATCAAGAGGTGCTGCAAGAACTTCTGTCATTTCACTGAAATCAATGATGATTGTCCAAGACACTGTTATTTCATGAATGTCGTCTCTGTAGATACGCTCGTATTGTAGTGTTGTTCGGTGACACAATGAAATTTGGCAATGAAATGCTCATTTCCGTGCTTAAAACAGCTAAAGAAGCACAAAACTCAAATCCTGAGTGGTGACACACCAAGGTTGTTTCTTTTTTCTTTATTCGGGAAACGTAAGGGAATTGTGTTGACAACCCTCTAAAACTCACTAGGAGCCTATCAATGTAACTTTACATAAAACTCACAATCATGCTGAACCTTGTCGATAGAGGGCAGTTGTATCAGTGTTTGAAGTATAAAAACTCCTGGGCAAAAGAAAAAAAAAGGAAGAGACCAACATGGCTAAACACTGAGCTTTTAATTATTTGAAGAGGACAATGCACCTGGACAAATTACAAAGACAACCAAGAAGTGGCAAGAGAACAAGTCCATTAGTCTCATGTTTGGCCTGGTCGGAGTCCAGATTTGAACCCTATCGTGAATATTACATTAAACTCAAATGAACGAGACATTTTTCGACTACTCATGAACTGTTTGAAGCCATTAACATTAAGTGGAACAACACTGACACTGTAAAAAAGCTGTCTGCAAGTCGGGGAAGGCTATTCTCTGTTAGTTTAGCTACAGATTTGTGATTAAAGTGGTTAAGACCAGTAAAAGACCACTAAATAATTGGCCAATTTTTCTTTTTTCTTTGCCCAGGAGTGTACAAAGAATAGACATGCTAATGCCATAACTTGAATGTACTTTAAAATCAGACGCAACACCATTTAAATATAAACTGGTCTATACAGCTCAATATAAGTCATATAGCTTCTCCTGTAGTGAGCTATTGTTGGCTATGACCAAATTATTGGATCAATGATATGAAATGAATCGGTTAAATTTGTGAACATTAAAAAGATCTGATGTGATTCATTAAAAAGATCCAACCCAGAACAAATGATGTTCATTACTTTGACGTAGCAACTTCTCTCATGAAAGCATCAAGGTGTAATTAAACTAACTACTAAATCAGTCTGTTCCTCACATAAAAGCTAAAATGACTTTAGATGAAATATAGTGTACAAGTCATATAGAAAAACTTTTTTTTCCTTATATTGTTTTTTTAAGAATCTTCGAAACATTGTTTTTGTTCACCACTGGAAATTCAGTAATAAATATGTAACAAATAAGGGTGAGAAAATAAAGCCAAAAGTTAATTTCAGTTGAACTGTCGCTTTAAATTTATTTAATCAAGTTGATGTTGTTGAGGACAGCTGCTGTTATTCAATTGTCTGTGTTTCTTACTTTTGAATGTCCTGATATATTGACAAACAAATAAGAACACAGAAATATGCTGCTTCCCATTCATATTTCTGCTTCTGGCAGTTAGTTTTCTATCCTTAAACGGACACACAGACAGCAACAAATGCCAAATGTATGTTTACAGAACAATATGATGCACTGCTCTGGCAGGGAGTCGTCGTATGCTGGCCACTTCAGAAATAACTCCAACCCCCTCCATCTTTTTCTCCCTGACAGAAGGTCTCAAATGATCAGACACAACAATGTGCTTAATACTCAGTTCTCGCTGCTC